GAAAACCATATTTCAACATGTCCAAAGCCAGAACGCTCCAAGGAAGTAAGAGACCAAGCTAATTGCAGTCATCTGAAAATGCAACTTCAATATTTGCAAAACCATTTTTACACGGTTATCTGTCCTTACAGCTCAGTGACTCCCAACAACCATCAACTTAGAATTGTGTGTACTGTACACCCCTATATCCTCAGATTTTCCTTCCACTTCCCTTCCCCTCTCCACCCAAAACAACTTTACTTGGAGCAAAGCTGTATTTGGCCACTACAGCCCAGGCGCATCTGAACAAAACAGCATCCTGTGGAGTTTGCACTCGATGAGCTGAGCAAAACCAGTGAAAGGTCAAAACTACATCTTCAGGAATCTTTCCTCTGCCAAAATAAGTAACTTTTGCTGGTAGTCACCCACAGCTACCGTTGTGTGCTCAGTGCTGCAGTGAAATCTTAGCACACCAGATGCAACTGGCAGCAACTACCAAGCACGTATTAAAAATTAAACTGGACATTTTTTTCCCATGATTGAGCCTCCACAGCATCCTGGCTAGGTCACAAGCTGTTCCCAGTAAAGTTTTCAGAAGCAGTTAAGTCCCAAAGGAGCCTGCTTACCTGCTGATCTTCAGTTAGAACTAAGTACCTAACCCATTTAGACAAGAGAAGTGAAAGGCTAAGCCACTTGGGTGTTCCTCTAAACTGCCATGCGGTTAGTGCTCCAGAAGGGATAGGCCAAAGCATGAAAACAGTAATCAGTACGATTTGCATAGGGGAGAAAAAAAAAAAAACCCAAACCTGTCCCACCTGCAGACATTCCATCTTGAAAGAAGACTCCCCCCCCACGCTCCCCAAAACTCCTATTGCATAACTAACACCACCTCAGCCTCATCAGGAGCCCTGCAAGGAAAACCTGGGATGTTCTCAAGCAAGTGCTGGAGTTCAGTCTGGAATGCTTATCTGAGTACAGTCACTGCAGCTGTTATGATGCTGTGTGCAACCACTTGCTACTGAAAAAGCATCACAGACACTTGAGATCATGAGACACTGAACAGTTTTGGGTCGGTTTTTTTTTTTTAAAGAGGGTAACACACCTGATGGGGATCTGAGCAGTAGTAGCAATTGTTTGGCAGAAAAGCTGTAGTGACTTCATTAAAAAGGATACATTTTTCATGTCCGTAAGTAATATTACTGGTCATTTCACTTGGACTTTAGACTGAGCACATTCTACAGAAATGCAAAGGTTTGAGTCATGAAATGGAGTCCCGCCCATGTATTCTGCTGAACCACTCCATTTTCAAGCCCCAGCTCACCAGCTTCTTCTTTCTGTTAAAAAGCGAGTGCTACAGGGGGTGCAAGTCTGAAGTTGGTTGTCACGTAGGACCATGCGTGTCATTCATCTCATTATGAAAGAGGTGCAGAGCATCAGGTGTTAAGAATTGAGGCAAAGCAGAGAGTTTGGTGACACAGAAAGAGCTGTTCGGCATGAGTAAGACAACAAACCGTCACAGTTTTAATATTGTTTATTTTTAACCTGTGCGAATTTATCAGCTCTTTTAACATCTTCTTCTATTAAGAAGTCTGTGATGTTTTCTTTTTAAAGGAAAGACTGCAAACATAGGCAATTAGCTCCTCTTTGAGAATCTCCTGGCTGGGAGAGAAGCGAGAAGAGGAATTTTTCCCAGAGGCTCTGGCACTCAATCCCACCTACTTTCAGCGGGAGCTGGATGCTGCATGCCTGTGGGTGTGTTTGAAAAATCCCACGACTTGTTACTTGCCGATTCTCTACCACGGACCACAGATCCCAAGAAACCTGGAATTTACCTGGATGCCAAAGGAGTTCAGCGTCCACTGGTGTCAGCAGAACAGCCTCTGGTTCACTGTCTGCCCCTACATGGCAGAGTTCGTGCAATCTTTCTCTCTTCAAATAAAGAGGTTGCAAACAACACAGTGAATCTGGCTGTATGTGCAGACTGGGCACACACCCTGCACATGGCTGACAAAAACAACCTCACCTCTGGAAGCAAGCACACAGCAGGAAAGGGGTTTGCTGAGGAACCGTCACCCTCCTGGCTCGCCTTGTAAAAGGGCTAAACAGACGTCTCCATGGCTGTCAGCCTACCACCTTCCGCCAGCGCCGAATTGAAATTCGAAATGAAAAAGAGAGCGTTACAGTCAGGTTGTGCTCAACTCTGTTACTCGGCCTCCACCACAAATGCGATGCCGCTGAAGTTCTGGGCTCAGATCGGGACGCGGGGCCTTCTCCTCTCCCCGGCTGTGGGGGGACAGCGGCAGGGCCCCTGCCTCCATTCAGCCCAGCCGAGGGACACGCGCCGTGGGCACAGGGCAGCAGGTGGAGGGGCAGCATCCTGCGCCAGCTGCCTAGGGAACCACAGCGTCGGGGCACAGCTCCCAACTTCTTTGCAGTTGAATAATTTGGGTCCAAAGGACCGCCCGTCAGCAGGCTGCCGGGGACGAGGCCCTCTGTAGGATGAGCCGGGGCCGTTCCCGCCAGGAGAGAGCTGCCGGCGGAGCCGGGGGAGCCCCGGGGCAGGCAGGATTCAGCCCCGCCCGCTGCGCTGAGGCACAGCCGAGTAAACAACAGGTTTGGCAGGTCCCTTTAAATCCCTTTTGGCCACACGCACCCGGAGATGGGCGTACGAGAGGAGACGGCAACTTTTATCTACCTCGTGCAAGGGAGACCGCCACTGGGAGCGTTTCCCCGGCGCAAAACTGCAAGTTAACAAAAAAAAAAAAGAAGCGATGGAAGATGCCCCCAAAAAGCAGAGTGCGGTGGCGCCGCTCCCGCAGCCCCCGGGACAGGCGCAGGGCGGGCGGGCGCTTTCCGCCGAGCACCGCGTGGCGCGGGGGCC